AGCAGTGAAGGTCCAGATTGCCAGGCTCCATTTCTTAGTCTGCTTGATCGTCTCTTCGAACTTTTTCTTTGTGGTCATGTCAAGGATCGTATATGGGCTACAAAAATGCCATAAATGAGAGCCCCATGTACAAGAATTGCAGATACCATTAACACTACCTCCTAACATCCTGGTTACATTCAGATGCATGTTAGAATAACTAGAATGTGTTTATGAAAGATAGAATGTTTAGATTCAGGGCTGTTTTAAGTACTTTCGAAATCAGTACATTCTCTCTAAAGGCACTATATAGATAGATAGATACAGATATAAAACAAAGATATTAGTAATGAGCAGTGAGATAATGCCCTATTCTATAAGGTCATGGCTGAACAGACGCAGCCCTACGTGAACATGAAAAAACAATGCATAAAAGAACTTACAAGGATCTGTCTTTTAGTAGTTAAATCAGATTATTAATTATTGAAAATATAATTGTACCAGTATTATGCATCTGCAACAATTATTTTCAAAGTTAAAATTTATTCAGAACTACCTCCAATCAGTGATGTGTTGTGACAGACTTCTTTCATCTCTGATCTTGTCCATTAAAAGAGATATTGATGAGGAACTGATTTTTCATCTATAATTGATGAATTTGGAACTACTAAAAGTGGGAAAGCCATTTTGTAGGTGAATTTATGTACATCTACTGAATTTTCTAATTCATAATAAAACTACAGTACGTGTTATTACTTTATCATGTGTATTATTGTCTGTTTCTACATTAAAAAGGTTCTTATTTTTATAACCTAAATAAATATACATTATAACTCCATTGGTCTTTTTTATTGAGCCTCAAGAAATATATTTTACCTAGGGCCACTTCTGTATGCCAGATGTGCCCATGTGTTAACATAACTCTGTTTAAAACAAAGATTACTCTTCACTCTTTGTTATTTTATGAACAATAGACAATAGACTAAGGTTATTTAATTACACACCAACCGAATGCCGAAAATCTATCAGGCTAGTATAAGGCTAATTGCCCGATAGATTTTCGGCATTCGGTTGGTGTGTAGCTAAACAGAATATATTAAACTTATTGTTAAAATATAATTATTAATGTTAATAAGAGATGGCGCCTAACGCTTACCTCTAGTGCCAAATTGGTTACGTAATTCATTTAGTAATTAGCCTTAAACTTGCCCGATAGATTTTCGGCATTCGGTTGGTATTTAGCTAAACAGAATATATTAAACTTATTGTTAAAATAAAATTAATTTAATTAGGATTTGTGATCAATGCTACTCAACTTTTATCTGAAAATTAATTTTGTGATCAAAGTTACCACTACAACTCATGTCGCAAAGTCTGACCCTTTTATAAACAAAACTTTTGTAAAATAAAATACCAAGCGAATTGAAAGTAATAGATAAATAACTTTAATTTTTTCCTACCATGTTACCGATATAAACTAGATACAGAAAATTCAATCATTTAATTTATAATTTATTTGTCAATAAACATAACAAACTTTTAATTAAAAACAGCAAAAGAACTTTATTTATTTATTTAATTTTTACAATTGAGAATGTATATATATATATATATTGTAATATTTTTACCCCCCATTTAACGGTATAACAGACCTATAAAAATTAAATATATTAAACTACAAGTNTTTTTCTAAGTTTTATAAATATGGTTTAAGAAAATGATTTAACAATTGTAATTTTCTGTAGATTCAAATTGAAAATACTCCAGAATAACTTAAAAATCTAGACTTAAAAAAATTTTATTTAGCCAGTTACTTAATTGTTATCAAGTGGCAACATCAACGTACAGTACGGTACTTATCATACTTAAAGAATTTTATTATTATTAGATAATCAGGATATTGACAAAATTATAGAACAAATTATACAGCACTTATACTTCATTAAATATGAAAAATTTCAAACAGGAAAAAACTAGGTTAAATAACAGATGTATCATCTAATAAAAGAAGAAACTGAGAATTCTTTGAAGTTATTTTAACGGAGTCATAAATTCTTAAAGAGTTTTTGACCCACTTTCTTATGCAATGCATTGTTAATATGGTATGTTAAAAAATAAATTGTTAAAGCTTCCAGCGTTTTAATCACGTTCGTAAACTGGCGACAACAAAAAAAACATTGGAATTTTTAATAAGAAGTCAGAAATATTTATTTTTGAATGATAATTACCTACTGAAAATCATGTTTAATCTTTGTTACATCCTTTAATTTCACTTTGTTACACATAAAAACCTTTTTTTACTGTTATAATTTATACAAATTAAAAGTTATTTCTTTCATAAGACTCTTATGTATACAATATTTTCTTAACAGTTATTTTTGCCAAATGGTAATAAGATTAAAATTGAAGGCAGTCTGTTGGAGAACAGTCACTATTCATTCACTTTTGCTGTTCTGGAATATAACTTTTGAAGGCTGACCTTTCTCTGTAGGCTGTTTTGGTCACCAAATTTGTTAAAATTTCCTTTAAAAACAATGAAAAAATATCTGACTGGTAACAATACAGACATCATCTTTCCTTTCCATCCGAGCCATGTTGTTTTTAAGGATTTTTTTTAAACTTTGGCGACCTAAGCACTACAAAGAAAGGTGTGCCGTCAAAAGCTGTATTCCGGATTATGAATAAATGGTGATCGTTCTCTGACAGACAGTCTTCAATTTTAATTTAAGCCAAATGATTACTGGATTAAATTGGGCTACATTACCACTACTAATAACTATACAGAGTAATCACCAGGCTTTGAAATGTTCATATTTGTTTAATTTTAATGTATACAATAACTGATAAATGATATAAAATATAATTATTTACTGTTCATTCTTAATATTACATTTGGGATGTAATATTAATTAAGAATAGAATATTTTAAAATGTTTTCTATAATAAAAATATTTTTTAATTATTAATTAAAAACTTTTCTGTCATAAGCATTACATATGTACAGTTATTATGAATGTAAAGGTACAAGATTATATAATGTGTAATTACCTGAATTAGATGTACAGTATTCAATATTGTAATTTACTAATTTTATTCTATTTTTTGACTAATGAAGCTATTATTGATTGTATTACCATAAATCTCTTGGAAATTATGTAATATATATAAAAATAGTTTTCGAGTTTATTCAATATTATTAATTTTTCCAATATCTATTTACAGTATATATCTAGGAACTGATTACATTTTTATAAATCGATGTATAGATATATCACTCATAAAAATCTCCAATAGTAATATATTAAATTAAATAATTTATATTCATACTATTGGATATTTTTATATTTATTCCACATAATACTAACTCAAAAAAAATGACGATTCTTGATTCTAGAACCTGATGACGACTATTAAATATAGCAAAAAACATTTTTTTCGGTAATAAATGTGCCACTTTTACAGAATTTATGGTATTTTGGAGTTAATATTAATCCTTACATCCAGTTTTTTGAGATTTTTATTTAATTCACATATTAATAGTATAGTTATTGGTGTAAGCAATGTATCTACATTCTACCAATTTACATACAATGATTATTATTTATCTGATACCTGTTATCTACAAATTGAAGCATATAATGGACTTTATCATTATTGACTTTACTAAACATAATTTCTCTTCTTTGATTTTGTCTTTTTGCACACTTCACATTATCAATCTGATTAATATTTTCTAACATTTAGCTATTTCTTTCTACTTAACCTATAAAATTTGATTAAATTTAATGATTTTTAAATTATTTGTGTTGATCTGAAGATAGACAAAGTTAAACTAGGCTTCATTGTTTAAAAATTCAGAATGTAGAGAAGAATGTTTTCCAATAGGATGCAGTTTGAATTTCACATTTTCAAACTCGGGACTATCAAGACGAATCAGGCTATAACTAAGACAATAAATATCGTAAATCTTTGAAAGCCAGTACCTTTGTAGAGTAAACAACACCTTCCACACTTTAAATATGGAATTTAAACATTTAATTTATTTAAAAGTTTCAAGTAAATTATTGCTGGAAAAACATGGAAGATGTTCTTTACTCTAGACCAGTTTTTTCAATTGTTGGTCTGCAAAAAAATTTCAGTCTACAGAAAAATATTTGATCATACTGACACTGGAGCAATTGACTACATGTGACATTTAATAGTAATTTAGAGTTATCATATGTACTTTGTTCCATACAGTAACTCTAGATAAGCATAATAAATAAGCATAATTCATAATCACATATAATTACTGATCCATGTAAAATTATGCATAATTTTACTGTTCCTTGATGAGAAACACTGTTCTAGATACTGAATATCTTAATTTTTTTTATTGAGACCAAATGATGTCAAGACCAAATTGTTATCATTGGTCATTCTATGACATCTGATCTTTGCAAGCTGCAAATGACCAGCTGAAAATGTTACAGAATAAAGAATCATTTTGATTTCCTGAACTTAATGATTTAATCTTGTAAATTATAACACAATGTGAAAATTTGTAAGATAAGCTTTTTATGTGATAAAATCAAAGGTTAGTTTGCAGTTTATAAAACTGTTTAAAGTAATTATTAATAGATGCGCTAGTTATTTTATTTTTTGCTCTTACGCTCTGTGCTTATAATCATTGTGGGTCAGGCCGACAATGGGGGGTAAGAGATGGGGCATAATATATCCAGAAGGATTAACTTTCCAGTTTCAAACCAAAATCTTCCAGATGGTAGGATGATTCTTAACTGTCTTGGCAATTCAGCCATCACACAAGCTGGTTTACTAGAATCGTGAGAATCAATAACAGTGAATTCACGTAATACTTCAGTCTAATCAATATGACCTGCTTTGCATTTTAGTAGAGAATTTTCTTTTCACATAAAGATAATGAATAAAAATTGTAATGGAAATGAATAAATTAGTTAACAGCTAATATATTAAAATAAAAGTCAATTTATCTTATAAATATGATATAAATGTATACTTACAGCAAATACTGCATTTTGCAGGCCAAAAGGTATAGGAGTAAGTCTAGAAACGACCACAATCTTAAATGCCTGCCCTCCTTCAAGTAATGAAAGCACAGACTGTAGTAGAGTGGTTGTAATTAATTTCGATTTGATAATATCAAAACAAAAATTTTTCATTAAAACTTGTGCTACTATCACACCCACGCAAGCTGCTACAACAGAAGCCAATATGCCAAGTACGAGTCCAAAATGATACCCACAAGCCAAGTTTAAAAGTATATAACCCCACATAAAGGGAAAAGAAACAGCCGTGTATAAAATAACAAACATTAGATATACCATCCATTCTTCTTGGGTATCCAGCCACAGGAGACAGTACTTAACGTAGTTGCGGCTGACAAAGAGTAGCAGACATATAACTATCACGAAAACACACGGTGTTAGATACGAACACGCACAACGGCAAAAAGGCACTTTGGATAAAAGGCACAGTGCCAACGAATACGGGGCTATTACGTATCCGTCCGAGGTAGAAGCGACAGACGAACCATCTCCATGCACGTTTAAATCCACTGGAACGGTCTCAAGTAAATTGACATCCTCTACTGCAGGAGGGAAAAGTATTGGTAAATCTACAGACACTTCTCGATTTATCATCATTCTTCTCTACCATCAGGACTCTCATTAAGTCAATCTGCTCGACATCAATTTTGTAAACAAACAGTTTAATGTCGATTAAAGAATACCTAGAAAAAGAAAAAAACAATAAAATGTAGTTGTTTATTTATGAGGCATTGCCAGTTTATGATTTTTAAGAATGCTTCTTGTCTACAAGCTTCTTTCTGGTATTCAAGAGGAGCAAGTAGGCCTTCTACTTCAGGTACTACTTAAGTTCAGTTGTGTATCCGACACAGTATAATTTCATCTCCAAATAAGACAGTCGGGACCTTACCAGAGCCATAAACCACACATACAAAATCAAAAAAGTGAATGAAACCACACCTCTATGCACACCAGCCCCCAAAATCAGTCCACTTCCAGATTGTATGCGAATGGGAGTCACGGCACTCCACCAAGACTATTGCATTTAACTATTTGGCCTATACGATTATGCCAGCTTGGAGTAGTCCACTTAACCATTTGTGGAGTACTTGACATTATATAGTTTTAGGGGGTGTGATGCTTGCCTTCACGTGGCTGCAGAGTGCAAGCACCAAAGTGCACAACTACACGAGAGCATCGATTGAGGTGAGCAATAGCAAGCCTCGACCGACGCGGAGCACGGAGAATAAGCAGTAGTACCAGTTTACGATAAGAACAGATCTTCAGAGACAAATATCTCGCAATGGGTGGCACGTACGGGTATGGATTTTTGTTTGTACAATTCTGGACAGTGGGACATCTTACCTCTGATGCAGCATACAACCCAACTAAGGTGGAGACAGTCATACCCAAAGTGGAAAACCCATTTGCTCCTCCAAACGAAAAGGGAAAGAAGCCTGCAGACAGGAAGCAGTCTTTAAAATGTAATTGTCCAATTGAATAATAAAATATTTACGTTTGTAATTTATGGAGAAAATATTTACATGACCTCCCACTGCATTATAATTAATGAATATATTATAAAACCTGATATAAGGTTTATCTGGACAGGAAATTGAAACAATTTTATAACTATTTCGTCAAAATACAATGCAAGATTTGCATATATTGTAAAGAGGAGGGAGGATACTCACCGTAACAGAAAGTAAACAACCACTGAAGATATTCGCTTCGATTAATTCACAGCGTTATCGTACACTCGTGTCAGCTGTTCATTCCACCTATAAAATTTTCTCCGCTAGAGGCGCCTCTATGATTATTGTCACGCTGTTTTATCGTCTGGCTTTTATTTTTCTCGTCTGAGTTATTTTATTAATGTTAAAACTTTCCGTTAAATCTAACTTAATATTATTTATAGTAAATAACGTATTATTACGAACACAGATTTCAATCGCACGCTTTTTTGTGCGAACAATTAGTTTTATTTTCATTGTCCATGTATGCGCCGTGTCCGGTATTTATCCGATTTTTCGCCAATGCTTCCAATTATTAATATTGTAGTGTATTTGAAAGCGTTAATAGAGAAGTTGCGGCTGACGTTTTCATCGCGAAAACGTGTACGTCGGACGTTCAGCGCAGCCTTCCTGTAAGCCTAGAAGGTTGACAATGGCGTTTGGTACGTCGAGCATGATTCCACTGACGTTCCAAACGCCATTGTCAAACTTCTAGACTTACAGGAAGGCTGCGCTGAACGTCCGACGTACACGTTTTCGCGATGAAAACGTCGGCCGCAACCTTGCTAATAACATCAATTTATAGAAAACAGTACGGAACCGCAAAGAGTCTTTCCCAAATAATTTTAACGCCCCGAAACACTACAAGAACAGATTGTTATCCTACACTCTCTACCACGGAACACTGTTGCAATACTGTATTGTATAATCTACTTGTAAAAAAAAAACAAAATTTAAATGCGTAATTAAATATTGTATGTACATCTAGTAATTAAACACAATATATTCTAGAGTCAAATATGCTTAAGAATACAATAGAATGAAAAAAACACTTGTAGCCCTGTTTGAACCCATAATAGTGTTACTAAAAACGTCCTCTTAGTGACTGAATTTAAAAATATATGTTGCTAGATTAAGTATTTCCGTAATTAACTATTCAAACCGAATGAAATTGTTCGCCTGCTCAACAAATTCTTTCTGATTTTATCGTAAAGCATACATTGTGTGCCGCCATTTTCTCCTACAAGGCGTTAGTTGCGTTAAGCAAATTCAGGTTACAGAAGATACTGCAGTTAATTTACAGTACGTTATGAGCTTTATAGTCTTTAAACAATTTTAAATCGTCAAAGAATCTATCATCTTTGCATTTATGATTTTTTTAATTTAAATAAAAGATGGAAAAATCCCCACCGCCCTTCTCGATGGCCCTGTACTTTGGACTATTATTTTAATAACTAAAACAACTTTTTAAATGTTTATTTTTTATTAAAATATATTAAAAAAAAGCTGCCAATATCAACTTTAATACAAACTGTACATGTTTCGATATTAATAATAATAATAAAATATTACATAGAAACGTACGAGTATACAAAGGTAACATGCATAAAATATGTTACAAAAAAGCACTTTAAGTATATATTTTTTTTTGGCAAAAAATTCAATAAAATAATAGGAAACGAATGTATTCAAAAGTACATTTTGTTATTTAAAATACATCTGTACATTCCGCCATTTTTAATCTCCAACCGATGAGGAGATCACCGTCGCCAGTTTTCAATATTGTTTGCATGGATAAGCCTTGCTACGAGCTTTTATCCAGCAAAGGGAGAAAGGATGTTTTTTAAACGTTTTCAAGAAAATCGCAAGTTGAAAAAATTTCCAGCGACTTACAAGCAAGTACAGCAGAATATACCATGAAAAATTTCATGGCTTCGGGGAGCGAGATCGCTGGTTCGTCTCTCTACGAGTAAACTTTTTCCAAATAAATGCAATTTTTACATGAAGTAATTGTAAATTACACGGGTTTATACGTTAGCAATTCATTTTCTATTAAAAACGCGCTTAAATTAAAACTAAATTTTAAATTACTTTTCTTTTTAAGTCGGGCCCCGTCCCTCACTACCCGGCCATCCCATTGTGGGCCTGGCCGAACCCATAATGGGCTTGCTAAAAGAGGCCCTCTTAGTGCCTACAGGGCAAAAAGTGTTAAGAAAAAAAGCAATTAAACAAAAAAGAAATGATTAGTTGTAACTAACTCCCAATATCACATTGAATTGTAACACATGACGGTAGACAATCGTCTTAAACGTTACTTCTCTGGTTTCTTATTGTTTATATCATAAGGGCATCCGTAGACGGGGGGCAAAGGGGATACTTACCCATCTCTGGAATCGGGTAAAAACTCTATACATTATAACCATAAAAGCCATTGAGATATGGCACCTTAAACCTCGACAATGGGAAACTTTGTATATTAAAATTTTATTACGGGTTGGCCCTCGGTACCTAAAAAAATTAATTAAATAAATAAAAATCTATTAATTGAGCTCTTCCACCCGGAAAATTTTCTGTAGACGTATATTCCTTTTCAAAGACAATAAAACAAATTGTGACTTATTACAGCGAGACCCGTATAAAACGGAATCGCACGGTACCGAATATTTTCCCGCTTTTGGCAGGTTTTAACGTAATTAAATCACAAATTATAAAATAATTAATTTTAAAGACATTTTAAAGACAAACTTGCTTGAAGGTTAGTACCAAGGGTTATCCATGCAAATAACATTATCGAAATCTGTGACCTCTTCTCTTGAGTATACAAGTATCTTTCAGAGTATTACCGGTGCGAAATTATAAAATTATAATCTCAAGAATCGATTTTTTGAAGCTTCTCTTCTTCCGAAGTATCGATTTTTTTCTCTTCGTAATCGAAATTCGGTTTCTCAGAGTTCGTTGAAGTTTCCACATTTTGATCACTTTCGATCAAATCGTCTTCGGAATCGAATTCTTTTGGGCATTCCAAGCATCTGCGGCACGACAAGAAAGGTTTATTTTAACAGATTATTTTATTCTATTCAAAATTTTTAATGAAATTCAATCGTCGGATGCGTATCAGAGGCAAGCAACTACGAAAGCCAACACTAACCACGTAGTCCATTTCACGGGAATGGACTAAGTCGTTGCTTTCATTACTATCGGCCTTAGCTCGTATCTTTCGCGATACTCGGGTGACAATTTAGCTGCTGCTATTGTCATTGCTTAGCTTTGTTCCTTGTTTTATTTTATTTTATTTTTTTTTTTTACAGCAATGCGACACGTGGACCATATGTCGAGGGGGTGCCTCACGACAGGACTCTCTAAGAGAAACTGGCCCCTATTTAAGTGTAACTAATGTGAAGGTTCTATCCACTGGTGGGCTTCTTCCTTGGTATTCTGAAGGGTACTATTTAACAGCAACGACATAACATCAGCAACTATTGGCTTTCTTAGCTGCTTGCTACTTAGAACTACCAATTGTTATTACCTTCCTTCGTTCATTCCGTAATTCAAGCAAGTGGATCCAATACATTCGCAGCATCCGTCGTGAAACCATCTACAGCTTGAAGAACCCATGCTTCTACAAGAGTCTTTGCATTTGGAAAACGACATACACTGCGATAAAAATGCCACCGTACAATTTAACAATTTCGTTTCTGAAGGCAATTCTTCATCGATTATCACTATAAGAAAGAAAATAATAATAATAAATGCATTAATGTTGAGTCTATAAACATTTACCATTCAAATTCCTTTAAAGTTACATTATTAAAAATGAGAAAATAAAGAAATAAAATATAATCCCGACAAATTGCGATACAATCATCGTATTTCATAGTCTCCAATTGTGGGTCTCTCAACACTTGGCCGCCCCATTATGGGCCTGGCAGAATCTTGTTTTCACATGTTATATAATAATGAACATTATTATATAACATGTGAGACAGATAATAATGAACATTACACAAACATATGCAAATTTATATATTCTGAAGACAAGGGGTGCCTTTTCCATTAACAATAAACAGTTAAAGTGAGAAGTAAGAAGCAATCGTACGCAAATCCAAATCTCTACTTCCTTACTTTCATTTGTATGATGGAAGCGTAAAAATGGAGTGCTTTCATTATACAAATGCAAGGAAAAGCTGCACTTTTCCAGCCCGTTGGCCAGGCACCAACCCACGATGGACATAACTAAAGGGCCCACTAGACAGCAAAAAAATTAAGCAATTAAGTAAAGGTAAACATAATATAAGAGTTTGAAAGTAAGCGACACTCTCCCACACCTTTTTGTTTATGTTGAATTAGTGTAGAGTCGAATTTCGACGTCTTCCGGTCTTGTTTACATTTGACACTTGACATTTATTACATTTTAATAGCTCGGGTCTGTAAATAATTCTGTTTTCGCCATCGATGTTCCCAGGATATTCAATTAACTCATTACTGCATACCTAAATCGTATTTATGTATTTATTTGACGTTAAATCTGTTAAAATGTTTTTACATTTAACAAAAACTTAATTTTGGTGTCTTCTGTGTGCGGGCCGTGGGCCTTCGTTCTATCTGTCTATGGAACACCGTGATCGTTTAAATAACCACTCTAGAACAGTCGTTCTTAACCTAGTTTGTGCCACGGACACCTTTGACAGTACGGCTCGTTTTCATAATAAACACGTGAAATGTCGTTGATTTCTATTGGTGGAAAAATAACAACTGACGAGCAACCGAAAGTGTACTGAACCTTCGTATTGTTTCCCAACTGATCGGTGTTAGAGGTCAATACTCCCCCCTCCTCCGTAAACACAAGCGATAAGCATTTACGTAACACGACGACGTAACGTTTTGTGAGAAGAACAATTGTTTAAATTTAGAAGTTTTCCAAATAATAGAAATGAATATTGAGTACAGGATGGCCCAAAAATCGGTTAACTGCGTTTTGTTCCGTGTTTTCTGGGGTACGAATGCACAGATAAGATTGTCGACCGAGTTCGGTTGATTATTAACTTAGTCTTCACACAGGGTTAACTGACTTTTGGATGGCCCAAAAATCAGTTCACCGCCGCAGAGACAATATTAATTTCTACAATAAATTCCTTCGTGAAAATTGTATTGGGCGATCTGTCAAGTGAAGTGCCTCCCGGGAAGGCTTTCTAATACCTAAATAGAATAAACATTCTCCTATTTATTATAGGTATTACTAGTCCTTTGGTGTGATGTGAACCCGCGACCAACTACGAGTGGGTTTATCAATTCGGCCGTTGGTGAATTCGCTAAATCGAAGTACCTCGCACGATAAGAATTGCGAGGACCTGGTACAAGTTTGAGCCTAAAAATTAAATTGTATGGAGTGAAGATCCGTTCACGCGTATTCGGCGGTGCTTTAAGGAGGTAGGATAAGTGCTATTTAGAAAGAGCGCTATATCGAGGTCTGGTCGTATACAGTATAAGATAAGGGGAAGGTAACATTCAAAAATGTGGATTACGTGGAACATAAATTAAGATAAAGCACATCGAATTTATGAAGCATTCCACTTTTAAAACCAATTTTTCGGGAGAAAAAGAAGTAAAATAAAGGTATTTATGATCGAAAACGTTAATAATGTATTTAAAATAAAATATAATTAACGGAATATGTAACAGCATTGGAAATACTATGTACAGTGAAGAGAGTATCAAAGTTAGCCATTCAGTCGCGGGTTCGCACTTGCAAACAGACCGGGCACGTGCAATTATACGGGCCCAGTCTGTTTGCAACTGCCTAAATAGGGGACCAGCTTACCGTAGAAGGTAATTCCGGGAGGCAGGCACCCCCCTCGGCAGATCGCATTAACGTAAACAAATAAACCAAACCAAGAGTACCAAAGAATACCAAGATTTAAGAGTCATTCCAAGTTTAAAACGAACTTTAAAGCCAAAACAAATTGAATGTAATTAAAAATAAATTACCTGCAACATGAAACGGGCTCCCAAATTTAAGAAAGACCCGGTTTAAATTCAGAGATGCATAAAGTACGTCTTAAATTCGCAGTAATAAGCCATATTTCTGCCACGTAATTTTATTGCAGTTACATATTCCGCAATATACACGATGTGAAATCGCTGTAACTCCGCAAATTGCTCGGTAAACTCCGAAAATAAAACCCAGTTGAGGAATAAAGCTTTGTAATAAACGAGTAGAATGAATTTTTGAGGCATTCGCACTAAATTTTAAAGCGATTGATTGTGTTTTCTTCACCAGAAACGGATCCAAAACCGAAGAAATTTCGCAAAAATCCCCATGGATTAGGCAAGATGATGGATCTAAATGCGTAGAATTGCGCATCAGGAGAGCGATTTAATGAGTAAAAATGGATTATTTGAGTGAATTCGAATGAATATTTGAACACGACAGTATTATTTGCTGTTGAATCACGTACGATTTGTGTCATTTGAAACATTATCCAAATAATAAACAGCATCGCCATCCAGCAATGTCGCGCGCTCGTCGTTCTCCGAGAGAAGTTTGCTACTTTTATGGTGAGTTTTAATTAATTAAAATGCAATTTAATTAAATACCCGCATAATATTTCGGTGCGAATATTGGAAAATATAAATTTAAGTAGATTTATAATAGTTTAAACATAGATTTTAATTGTAGTAATTGTATTTTGTAACTTCTATCAATAGGTTCTTACTTTCTTCATTTTGTTAAGGAAATTACACTTTAATTCAGAATAAACACTTAATTATAATAAATGCATAATCAGGTAGATATTCTGTAATATATAAAACTTGGAACTTTGCATAACTTTGCACATTTTTATACAGGAGTTGCAGTTCCAGATTATACATAGAATATATACATTATATGAAATAAAACTATATGGGCAAGCATAAATCTCCATTGTACTTATGTATTAAGTCTTAGGAAAGTCTAGGGTTTCAAGAATTTAGGAACCACGGAGAGGCAACTCTATGTTGGTTCAGTGCTTGGAATCCTAGCGCTTGAACAATACCAAGTATCAAACAGTACGGGCTTTATTATATCCAGGGTGGCTCGTGAACCGGGCGAGGCTCTTCTAGACCCTTATTGCGGCCCCCGTACACAATTTCTCTTTATAAACTCGATACATACAAATATATGTGTAAATAGTAAGTTTTTTGATTATTAATTAAATAGTGTAATATACAAAGGGACTATAAGTTAACTTCCAACAGGCAATTGCTTAGAGTGCATTCGTAAGTCGAAGGAGTTAAATGATTGTTTACCTTGTCAGTCAATCATAAAGTATCAGTAAAGTAACAGTAATAACTATATATAATATAAATAGATGATACGGCTCTCCAATATGCAATTTAATAGAGGACGCAGCTCGTGTTTCCGATATGTCATGTATTGTTCCTGTCATAAAGAGGTTTGGCCACTCCTGTTATATACTCTTAGGCAAATGTACACCTGTGAGGCCTCACGAAGCTAAAAAACCTAAAAAAATTGCTCTTAATTTATAAAGTTGAATTATTAATTCTACTTTCTCTAATAAGTTAATTGTAGATTTCTTATTATAACTTAATCCTTCGTATTTACAGTTTTGTCATTATTTTCTCTTCATAAGATGATAAAAATATAATTAGTTTTCTGTATATAGAGATATAATAAAAATAATACATTATTATATTTATATTTAAGCATTTACTAAATTAAACTTACAGAAATAGAATTTTATGCATTTCAAAAATATTTTTTTTAAATAGAAGTTGTGTTATGGCCACATTACAGAATCATTTGATGTCATAATTTTATATAAATTACCTTTGTTTAATTATTTATTAGTTATTTGTTTTAATGCCGTAATTTTTCCATTGATTGAAAAGTTTAAATAATCTTTAATTAAAAACTTCTATCTTCTTATTGATTTTCTAAAAATATTATAAAAATTTATTTCTGAAATAATGTGAAAGTGAAGTTCTTATTTAAAACTAAAATCAATTTTTATAATTAGTGAAATTCTATTCTACTGAAGAGCTAAATTGAAATCTAACAAGACCCAAACATAGCAGAGTGTCTATAGTCCATCGCTCGTCGGTCCAACATGTTCGGTAATCCGACATTCTGTTGCAGGGTGGCGCACGGGAAATTTTCATGTTACCACTTGGTGAATGCAACCTAGAGAGACTGATGTATGTGTATACTGTCAGTCACCAGTTGCTTGTTGCACATTTGGTCAGCAAAACACTCACAACTGTGATTAATACAATAAAATGAGTTTTTTACTATACAGTATGTACGTACATACAAAACCCAGTAATCCAACATCTGCCAGTCTGATGTTTGTTGGATTACAGAGACTCTACTGTACTTTTAAACTTCCTGGTTTGTTGTTTAGGATGTTTATTTAGTAAAAAGCAATTAAATATCTAAAAGTTTACTTTCTTTGGACTATATTGGGCTAGACTTTAACCTCTGAAACTATACACTAACATACATCAATCCATTACATGTTATATTAAACTTATACTTTCTTAGAATGTAAAAGTTAATATGCCTGTAACCTAACAGTTTTTGAACCTTGTTTGCACATCTTCAGAGAATAAAATATGCCAAAATACAGAAAATCAAAAAAATTGATCATTAAACTTTCAAATTACTTTTAAAGTAAATTAGAGATTTGTTTGTCTAATAAACATTAAAGAAATCTGTTAAAAT